TTGTAGTCCAAAATTGTGGGCCGACCCGTAACCGGCCCGAAACCCGCAGCGGGCGAGCTTTTTTTCACGCGGGTCGTTACCGGGCTCACATGTTGGCGGGCCGACCCGGCCCGGACCACCCGGATTGACACCTCTAGTCGACTTGATAGTTAGGACTTGATGTCTTGATCGAGGAGATGAAGCCACGTGTAAATTGATCCAAAGATCACTATTTGAGTTGTAACACTATAAATACCCCCACCATGTAACACGAGACGGCTAATGAAAATCCTGAATAAAGATCTAAATACCTGGAGCAATATCTCTCTCATAAAAACAGTGACTTCTACAACATATTTTCTACCACAAATTGTCCTTTATCGATTGATTTCTTATACAATCGCGTTACATTTATCTTGCCGGAAGCCTGAACGGAAACGTCTCGTGCCTCTTAGACACTCTCACGTTCATTTTCTGGAGTCAACTTGACCGTTGATCGGCATTAACGTGTTGGATCAAGCTTGGGTGTGCACGAATGGGCCCGACATCTGTTGACAACATTTTTTGGGATCAACAATAATCTTTCCAGAACAAACCTTAACTCAAACTATTCACGAATCTTAATCTATGTACAAAAGAAACGCAATCAAAGCCAGTTTTGCAGGCCTTTGATTGACTGTAGCAAGATCGCTTTACAATGATTTGAACATGTGGGCTTTTTTCCAGAAAGATTAATGCCAAAGATGGAAGATGATGGAGGTATCGAATGAAGTTGGAGAGAAGCAAGAAGACGAACAGTAAAAACTCTTGGAAGAATGAACCATCTGCTCATATCAGAAAGCTAGAAGTCAGATATCCACCAGAGCGTTCAATCCCAGCCGCTGATCAGATCCAACGAATCATAGCAGTTCTCAATAAGCACAATCTTAGTTTACTTCAAGTCACCACCTAGAGGTTGTCACATGGGGCACCTTAAATCCAGATCAGTCGCTTATCTGATAACCAAAAAAAAAAAAAACACGTTCATAATTCGTTTCAGTGAAACACGTTTCTTCCTCATCATAAGTCGTTTGAGTTATAGAACTAAATTTCAACTTATGTTTTCTTACATCACAAGCCTCCCTTTGACGAGGTTGAACGTCAAGGGAGAAGCCTTTGCTTGGATGAACCATCCACCAAGCAAGGAAGCGTGAGCGCTTCGGAGGAGAGGATGGAACCTTGAGAGAAGGCCACCTCGTTCGAACTCCAAAGCGTACATCACAAGCCTCCATTTGATGAGGCTGAACGTCAAGAGAGAAGCCTTTGCTTGGATGAACCATCCACCAAGCAAGGAAGCGTGAACGCTTCGGGGGAGAGGATGGAACATTGAGAGAATGCCACCTCATTCGAATTCCAAAGCGTACATCACAAGCCCCCTTTGACGAGGCTGAACGTCGAGGGAGAAACCTTTACTTGGATGAACTATCCACCAAGCAAGGGAGTACGAGTAGCTTCATAATGAAGACATTTGAGAATACAGAATTGTAAGTTGATTTAAGGTAATTTCAGGATAGCAACGCTTTGAGAATACAATTATCAGTTGATTATCCGTTGAGAATACAAGTAATTTTAGTTGGTTAAAGTGACCTCAATTTGGTCCTGCTGGATTGGTTAGACCCGTCTTGTCAGATTGGTTATTCAGTTTTATCTATAAGAGATCAGTTGATGAAGTTTCAACAGTATCATCGGGTTGGTTATCAAGACCGAATAGTCCATTGCGATAAATATAAATTACAACACAAAGAAAGAAGCGAAGTTTTTTGTTTCATTCATATCAAACCAGGAAGTACAAGTTACAAAAAATTTATGTAGTAGGGGGTGAGGGAGCTGGAACATCAGGAGCAGGTTGAGACGCTTCGATGGGCTGAGGCTTTTCAGATGGGACATCATCAGATTCAAGCTCCACTACCTCACCTTCCTCAGCTGGAGTCTGAGGAACCTCCTCCTCAATGAATTCTGCTTTCAGCTCAGAGATGTCCAACCCCGGATGCATCTCCTCCAACCCCTCAAAAACCTCTTGATACGCCACCCCGCTCCAATAAATTCCGAAGCG